GTGTGAGTGTGAGTGTGAGTGTGAGTGTGTGTGTGTGTGTGTGTGTGTGTGTGTGTGTGTGTGTGAGTGAGTGTGAGTGTGAGTGTGTTTGTGTGTTAAGTAAGGAGCTGCCTGATCTCGCGGTGGACGTAGCACAGGAAGTCCATGTAAGACGCTCCTCCGTGAAGACCCTTGTCCTCCACCAGGTGCTGACGGAACAACATCTCCGATCGGTCCTTCTGCTTCACTATCAGCAGCTGCACAGAAAGAGACACACATCAATCACACTGCTGACCTGAGATCAGTCAGGACAGAGGAAGATGAGCATTGAGGCCAGTGATGACAAGTGAAGAAAAAAAGTTTGGGATCGATAAGATTTTTTAAAGTCTTACCAAGACTGCATTTATTTGATCAAAGTACAGTAAAAAAAAAACATCAATACTGTGAAATATTATTACAATTAAAAATAATTAATATATATTTGAATATAGTTTAAACTGTAATTTATTCCTGTGATCAAAGCTAAATTTTCAGCATCATTACGCCAGTCTTCAGTGTCACATGATCCTTCAGAAATCATTCTAATATTCAAAATTTTGTGCACAAGAATCTTTTCTTCTTCTTCTTATTATTATTATTATTAAGGTTGAAAAATTAAGCTACTTAATATGGGAAAATGTGATGCATATTTAATTTTTAAGTGAATAAAAAGTTCAAAAGAACATCATTGATTTAAAATGGAAATCTTTTTAACATGATAAAACGTGTACTGTCACTGTCAACCAATTTGATGCTTCCTTGCTGAATAAAAGTATTAATTTATTATATATAGCATTTAATATGTTTATATATAATGACATGAGCACCACTAGGTACTATTCAAGCCTCTTTATAACGAACAAAAGACAGAGACAGATATAGAGAGGAGATGGTGAGAGTGAGCCGTACCTTCATAGATGTGGCCCTCCGCTGTGAAATGCTGGAGATGATTGAATGGATCTTCCTGGAATGAGCATTATCCAGCACAGGTAATGACGTCGGCTGAAAGACAATTGTAATACTTGCGTTATCACTGCAGCTCTGACGTTACTCGCATAATGAGAAGAACTGAAAAAAAATTTCAATCAATTGTGCATCAAAATAATATTGTCCTTCAAAGTACAACCTGGATCATATATATAATCCAATTCCAATCCAAATACTGTACTACTTTAAAAAAAAAAAAAAAAGTTTACATACAAATTCTGTCATTTATTCACTTTCATGTTGACCAGAAGTCAATGTTGTTACAAACTTCTACATAAGAACGATTACATTTATTTATTTTTGTTTTTAGTGAAATGTTACTCTGACCCTTATCTGGAAGAATGTGCCATAATGTATTATAATAACTAGATAATATATTATTTTTTAGGTGTAAAACTTTTTTAAACAGTTTGGTTCCAAGAAAATCTGGGATTAAAATCCAATTTAAACCTGGAAATATATTTTAAATTTTTAATGAGCACACAATATGGCGTAAAATTAATAAAAAAAAATAATAAGAGGAATCTGTACTATTTCTAGGTCCCTAATCAAACACGTTTTTAATCATTCATAATTCAGTCCAATTTCTCACTCAAATCGTTATGGTGATATCATCTGCAGTGAAAAATTGGACAAAGATTTGGAAAATTTTTAGAAATTAATTTGATGAAAATTCTTCTGATTTGCTTGATAATTTCTAAGTTCTAAAAACAACAAAAAAAAAAACGTTTTTTTAAACTATGTTTTACAAGAAAAATTCCGCTTTTCTACTTCAAAATTTCACCTTTAAAGGGCACCTATTAGGCCAAATCCACTTTTACACGGTGTTTGGACATAAATGTGTTGGCAGTGTGTGAACACAACCACCCTACAATGATAAAAAAATCCACCCACTCCGCATTTTTGAATTCCTATTAAACCAAATCAGTCTCACTAGGCCTGCCGTTTTGATTCTCTAAGCAATATGACATCACATTGCTTAGGCCCCGCCCACAGCTTCTCCGCACTCGAGCAGCTGTAACATCAACAATATCTCGTAAGCAATCCCGATGCTCTGTGTTTGGATGTAAGACTGAACATTAGAGTCTGCGTTTTCTCCCAACATCTGAGCCACTGAGGACGCAGTGTATTACTTTCATTTTTCAAGATAATGCACCTCAAAATATACCTAAGTATGTTTATATCTGCGCAAATCATTTCACTCCAGACTCCTTTGTGAATGTCATCATGTCATTATAGTGCTTAGCGTTTTAACCGGATTTGTGTGTGTACATTAAGTATTTTAATTGGCCAGCGCCGCGCTTGTAAGATTAGATTGCGAGCTATGTAACATCGTAACGTTTCGTCCAACTTTCAGTGCATTTGGCTTCTCATATGTACAGCTGAACACTGGTTCTCTCGCTCTCAGTCATGTTTCTTCTACCGGCTGTTTATTGCTGTAGTTATGCAAAGCATAGAGACTTATACACAACGCCCTCTTCTGGAGACTGGGAATATGCAGCTCATTTGCATTTAAAGTGATACACACCAAAACAGCTCTTTTTTAGACACGCCCCAAAAATGACATTTTCAACTGATCTGTGGGGTATTTTGAGCTGAAACGTCACAGACACATCCTGGGAACTCCCAAGACCGATATGTGACCCTGGATCACAAAAGCAGTCTTAAGTCGCTGGGGTATATTTGTAGCAACAGCCAAAAATACATTGTATGGGTCAAAATTATTGATTTTTCTTTTATGCCAAAAATCTTTAGGGCATTAAGTAAAGATCATGTTCCATGAAGATATTTTGTAAATTTCCTACCGTAAATATATCAAACTTCATTTTTTATAAGTAATATGCATTGCTAAGAACTTCATTTGTACAACTTTAAAGGCGATGTTCTCAATATTTGGATTTTTTTGCACCCTCAGATTCCAGATTTTCAAATAGTTGTATATCGACCAAATATTGTCCTATCCTAACAAACCATACATCAATGGAAAGCTATTTCCATAGTTATTTATTCAACTTTCAGATAGTGTGTAAATCTCAATTTCAAAAAATGTACCCTTATGACTGGTTTTGTGGTTCAGGGTCACATATTGTAAAAGGGGGCATAATAGGTGCCCTTTAAATAAATGTGTTACTTGTCATTTCTTTACAATTAATTGTCAAATTTACTAACAATTTCTGATTGAAAACCAAAACAGCTCTTTTTTAGACACGCCCCAAAAATGACATTTTCAACTGATCTGTGGGGTATTTTGAGCTGAAACGTCACAGACACATCCTGGGAACACCCAAGACCAATATGTGACCCTGGATCACAAAACCAGTCTTAAGTCGCTGGGGTATATTTGTAGCAACAGCCAAAAATACATTGTATGGGTCAAAATTATTGATTTTTCTTTTATGCCAAAAATCTTTAGGGCATTAAGTAAAGATCATGTTCCATGAAGATATTTTGTAAATTTCCTACCGTAAATATATCAAACTTCATTTTTTATAAGTAATATGCATTGCTAAGAACTTCATTTGTACAACTTTAAAGGCGATGTTCTCAATATTTGGATTTTTTTGCACCCTCAGATTCCAGATTTTCAAATAGTTGTATATCGACCAAATATTGTCCTATCCTAACAAACCATACATCAATGGAAAGCTATTTCCATAGTTATTTATTCAACTTTCAGATAGTGTGTAAATCTCAATTTCAAAAAATGTACCCTTATGACTGGTTTTGTGGTTCAGGGTCACATATTGTAAAAGGGGGCATAATAGGTGCCCTTTAAATAAATGTGTTACTTGTCATTTCTTTACAATTAATTGTCAAATTTACTAACAATTTCTGATTGAAATTTTTTTTCTTTTCATTACTGTAATTAATTTACTGTATAATAAAAATTTAATTAAAGGGTCATGAAACCCCCCCATTTCAGCACTGGTTAGTTCTCACTACAGTTTTAAAATATGCTAAAAAAAATGGGCGATATGGTGCGGAGCAGAGGGAGAAGAGGGGAGACAGACAATGCACACAGCTTCGGGTTCAGAGCGCTGTTGCACATCTGAGAACTTTTTAGGCTTATTCTGCTGCATTTATATAAGCCTTTTGACGGCTTGTGTCACGGAGCTGTAAAAACGGTTACACTCACTAAGTGAATGAATTGTTTTTGTGCTGAACTCTTATTACAAAGCAAAAACAAACAATCTCCTACCTTCGATCCATGAACGTTTCTCTCAGTTAATGTACGCGGTCTCACATAGTTATTTATTCAACTTTCAGATAGTGTGTAAATCTCAATTTCAAAAAATGTACCCTTATGACTGGTTTTGTGGTTCAGGGTCACATATTGTAAAAGGGGGCATAATAGGTGCCCTTTAAATAAATGTGTTACTTGTCATTTCTTTACAATTAATTGTCAAATTTACTAACAATTTCTGATTGAATTTTTTTTTCTTTTCATTACTGTAATTAATTTACTGTATAATAAAAATTTAATTAAAGGGTCATGAAACCCCCCCATTTCAGCACTGGTTAGTTCTCACTACAGTTTTAAAATATGCTAAAAAAGTGGGCGATATGATGCGGAGCAGAGGGAGAAGAGGGGAGACAGACAATGCACACAGCTTCGGGTTCAGAGCGCTGTTGCACCTCTGAGAACTTTTTAGGCTTATTCTGCTGCATTTATATAAGCCTTTTGACGGCTTGTGTCACGGAGCTGTAAAAACGGTTACACTCACTAAGTGAATGAATTGCTTTTGTGCTGAACTCTTATTACAAAGCAAAAACAAACAATCTCCTTCCTTCGATCCATGAACGTTTCTCTCAGTTAATGTACGCGGTCTCACAGTCTGAAGCGTCTGTCATAGCAAATCAACACATGCTGTTGTGAATAATTAAGTGAAGCGTCTTCTCAAATGATTCATGAGAATGCGTGCTCTTATCCTATAAGACACCGACGCGTCATCGAAGTACTATAGTCCTTTGCCACGTCACAAATTGTGATGTCAACACGATGTAGATTTTAAACCCGGAAGATGAAAATAGCGCAATTTTTTTTTTAAATAAACCAGTTTTCTCAAACAGTTAAAATTATCAGATGCTAACATTGTCTTCTATAATATGCAACACAAACACCTCTGCTAAAATCTCAGAGAAAGTAGTCTGGGGTTTCATGACCCTTTAAGAAAGCCGTGTGTCATACCCCTTCTGAGGACAGATGGCCGAGAGAAGGCACATTGAAGAGGTTCTGTATGAGGTCGGGCGGACAGGCCTGTCCCAGCCAGAGGAACACGCAGAGCCCGTTTTCCAGCAGGAAGATGCCGGACTCGCTGAGCCGCTCCTCAGAGCAGCGCACTGGAGCCGGGATCGCCTCACTGGACACATCCATAGTGTGCTGAGAGAGAGAGAGAGAGAGAGAGAGAGCAAATGCATGAACTCTAGTGCTCAGGGTTTGATGTCAATGATAGAAATTATAGGTATGTGTGTAACTGACCAGCGGGATGAGGCGTGGATAGAGCAGGACCTGTGTTTCCTCCACTCCCATCGCATTGACCAGGAGTCTGTGAAAGGCCCGGTCATCTGTGGAGAGCTCAGTGCTGCCCACTAGAGTCGGAGTCTTCAACAGACTGTTCATGTAGACGGGAAACACCTTCATCGCATCAGGCAGGATTAGCTGCCGGGCAAAACATTCAAAAAGCAGTCATTTTACACAAATCAGAGTAACAAAAATAAGGCATATTGTTCAGTGTTAATATGAAGGAATTTTCCATAGTGATTTTTTACATGTTGTTTTACCCAAATATTGAATTTCGCTTTGCATTGTGTTGAATTATACATTTAAGTAATATTAATTAACTACATGTACTTAATATATGATTAGGTTTAGGATTAGGGTTTGGTTTCAGGGTTACTTGCATGTAATTATGCATAATTAATTGTTATTATAATAGTAAGTACATGTAACATGTGTAACAAGGAAACCTTAAAATAAAGTGTTACCAACAAATTTAACTATCTAAAATAAATATATCTAAAAAAAAACCTAATACAAATCTCTATAAATATGAAAAAGTAATAATATAAAAATGAAAAGGTAATAATTGTATAAAAATGAAAATTGTTTCTGCATCGCAGTGTTATTATAAACAAAAATAAATATAGGTAATATAAAATAAAATATATAAATATTAGATGAAAAATTAAACTGAAATTAAATGTCTTAGTTGAAGTAATAAAATTACTAAAACTAAAACTGAGAAAAAATAAAGCTAAAAAAAAAATAGATTAAAAAAACGAAATTACAATAAGCACAAACTGGAAAAAAGACTGGAAAATATAAAGCTAAATAAAAAAAAATACATAAAAAAATTTAATTAAAATAAGCACAAACTGGAAATGACTGCCTGCACTGAGCATGTTTTGTTTCACTACAAAACCAGTCTATAATGAGACAGTGTCAGATTGAAAAATACTTCTAGAAAGCAAGTATTTTACAGATTTAAAATTCTCATGGTACATTTTTATATCAGCATTATGTTACAGCTTGAAGTAAATCTGTAACAACTGCATGACGTTTTCATGTACATTCCTGTAAGAGTTGGTAATGCGGTCACCTGACTTGGCGAAGAAGTTGATGAGGGCGTCTGTCTCGCAGCTTTTGTAGAGTTCAGACAGCTGAGAGCTGCAGTTCAGACTGAGGTTGTGAATCCGCAGCCTCCTCTGTCCACCGATGGTGGTGTAGAGCAGAGCACACTGGGAAACAGAGAAAACAAACTCACGTGTGTTGCTCTTGCCAGTAAATGAATTCCAACAGCATCACATCGAAACGGTTCAATGAGGACTCAAATGCACCCGAGTTACCAAGAAAAGATTTTATGCATCAATGATGCCAAACGATTTTGCAATAAAACACATTTTGACTGTAATGGCTGACTTAACATGTGCCCTGCTTTGTTGCATGAAGTTTTCCTTTTGTATTTTTGATAGTCTTGATTGTCTCAGTGTCATACGTGAAGCCTGACCTGCATCACAGCTCCAGACTCCTCGCTGAGTGTGTCGTCGTGCTTAAACTCGACCGTCACAGCTTTGTCACAGTCCACTGCTGCCATCTCCACATCTGTAGTGTTGTTCATGTATATGGCACCAAAGAAATCTGTCGCCCTGAAGCCTTGACGTTGAGGTTACAAAAAGCATATGCCATACATACAGTACATTACCATTCAAACGCTTAGAGTAAGATTTCTTACGTTTCCTATGCTCTATAAGGCTATATTTATTTTATCAAACAAGCATTCATTAAAAACGGGCATATTCAGACAAATCCAATTCTTGCTTCTTACTAATTTCAGAGTTCTTGATTCCAAACAATGCCAGTTTTGCTCGAGCATGTCACTTTCTCTCAAAATATGTGCATTTCCATAGCATTTGTGCTTTCATCATCCATGTGTGAGATGAAGTCTTGTAAAATCTCTTAATCGGCAGAAAAACTGGCAAACATGATTTCTGTGTTCCTCCGAGCATTTGTACAATTCTCAGCTGATTCTGAAGATCATTTAATGCCTACAGTAAGTCTGATTTGCACATTGCAAGTTAAATGATACATTTTGAATGCCTTTTTGACATTTCACACATATAGTTTATATAATTTGAAAAATCATATTTTGTGGGCATCATCAAATTAGGTAATATTAGGCCTTATATATTATGACAACATTATTAGTGTTGCTATTTAATATTTTTGAGGAAATCATGACGCATTTTTTCCATGATTCTTTGATGAATATAATGAAGAACAGAACAGCATTTATTTAAAATAGAAATATTTTGTAACAAAATATTTTTTGGCAACATTATAAGGCTGTAACTATTTCTTGAACAAAGGGGAGGGGCAATTTTTATTTATTTTTATAAAGCATAAATAAATAGAACAGCGAAGGAAATTCTAGGTCTAATTCTAGTTTGAAAGTAAACATTTTGAACTATTTGCAAATCAAATTTTAAAATATGCACTTTTATTTGTTTGTCGAAAACACAAAAGATTCTTATCTCGTCAGGAATTAGCCTACGTGAATCACAGATGATACTATATTTTCAATTTAAAATGGCCATATTTGAGTTTGCATTTCTATCTTAAAACAGTTTTTGAATATTAAATGTTTTGCTACTTCCCTCTTATCTCGCTCCCTAAAAATTGTACTTTTAAACTTTTTTGTTATCCTAACAACAAACAGAATGCAGCGTGATGGAGGGCAGCAGAACGATGCAAGAATTTCAAATATTAAGTATAACAATTTGGCCATTTTTAATTATTGGGGAAGAATTGTTGTGGTTACGGCCCCAATGTAATTAATCCTTTTTGAACAAAAGTATTAATTTCTTTCAAAAACAATACTGACCACAAACTTTTAAATGATAGTGTACATAGTATGTTTAACTTTACTTATTGTAGTGTTCATGTACTTTTCTCTAGTTTATTACCTGTGCCAGTACGGACACGCATTATAGCGTCGAATCCGATGGACTTCTCCACATCTCTCCTGAGGTCACTGAGAAACTGCTGACCATTCACCTCCACCTCAAAAGAGAGAAATAAAGCTTTGAGGTCTGACCACAAGAGGGCAGTAAAACAAAAGAGTTCAGACTCTATTTTGTACCATATGTGACCCTGGACCACAAAAGTGGTCTTAAGAAATTGAGATTTATACACCACCTGAAAGCTGAATAAATAAGATCTGGAATCTGAGGGTGCAAAAAAATCTAAACATTGAGAAAATCGGCTTTAAAGTTGACCAAATGAAGTTCTTAGCTATGCATTACTAATCAGAAATGAAGTTTTGATATATTTACGGTAGGAAATTTGCAAAATATCTTCATGGAACATGATCTTTACTTAATATCCTAATGATTTTTGGCATAAAAGAAAAATCGATCATTTTGATACAAAAGTATTTTTGGCTATTGCTACAAATATACCCCAGCCACTTAAGACTGGTTTTGTGCTCCAGGGTCACATATTCACAGCATCGGTGTTTCAGTATGTGCATGTTATGGTGTACCTGGAAGTTGCTGTACTTGTAGATGGAGCCGCTGGTGTGTGACGGCACATCGCCCATGGTGGCTATATCCACAAACTGGTTAGGAAACAGGAAGAGATCGACACAACAGCCCTGCGCCACACAGTCTTTAGTCAGCTGCTCATACACACCCCGCTGAGGCTGGAACAGAGTCTGACAACACACACACACACACACACACACACATCACCATTCAGTTCATGATTTTGTCATTCAAAGCATTCATGCCATAGCAAAACGAATTTGTAAATCTGCTTTGAAATAATGTGCATTGTGAAAAGAACTTATAAACTAAATTGGACTTGACTTGTTTTATACTATTTTTCAGGGTTTCGGTAGGTTTTATGAAGGTAAATTTAAGACTTACCGAGTAAGGCCAAGTAAAATAAATAAATAAATGTAATGCAATGCTTGAAAGTTTAAAATTACAACTTTCAACAGATATCCATTACTTCATACTTTAATTACATTTTGCATTACAGTTTTTTTTCAACTGCTTGCACACATTTTCAAAACTTTACACAAAAATCCAAGAATTGCACACACAAAATGCAAAATGCCTCACATTTCTTGCAAAATGAAGCACTGCATTCATTTTTTTACATAGAGAATTGTGTGTTGTGTTTGCAAAAATTGTTTAATGAAATTGAAACTGTCAAAGGCCGAGAATTAGTGTATGGTTTTGCAGATTTGGTGTGTGGTGTTTGAGTGTCAGGTTTCAGAAATTGTGTGACAAGTGAAGATTTTGTGTGCAAGTAGTTGAAAAAAAAAAAAAAACTTATGGTTTGAATAGCTCTGCTCCCAACCACTAGAATATGGAAATAACTTTTACTGTGCCTTCTGATTACACTGCAAAAAAGTAATGATCTGCCTCTATTTCTGCCTTGTTTTCCAGTGCAAATGTCTAAAGATTCTTAAATCAAGACACATTTACTTGAGAAGCGAGATGACAAGCTACATCTTGTTTTATGAAAAATGTATCAAAATGAAGTGGGTTCATGGTTAACAAGAACAAATATCTGGCTCAGAAAAACAACTTTCAAATGAAATGAAGCTTCAAGTTTTCATACCCTATTGATAGATATTTTTGTTTGTTTTAAGCGTAAACTCAGTTTTGTTTAATTTCACTAAAAATAAGACTTTTTATCTGCATTATGCATCTCAAGCAAATGTATATTGTTTTATGGATGTTTAGACATTTGTACTGGAAAATAAAACAAAAATAGTGAGGAAGATATTCATTTTGTGCAGCTCAAACAACATTTAATGCAAAGACTTAATGAATTCTAAAGGCCTTTTTTAAGGTCTTAATTTCTGGAAGGATGAATTACAGACTTAAGTAAGACAGACACATTTTAAGGCCTTTTTTCTGAAATTTAATTAAATTAAATATTTACCTTCTCCTTTTCTGTACCCACTAATTTTAGGTCATCTCTGTTTTTCAGTTTTCCTGGCGCCTCTGCTGTTGGGATGGAGGACTGAAAGATGAAGAGTTTGCCACTGCACTCAGCTGCCTGAAGAGAAAAAAAATATCACAAAAATATAAAACTGTGAAATGGTTTTATCTGACAGGCCAGGAAGTGTTAAGAGTATATGAGTTCAAGTATTTGATGAAGAGCAATGACCGAAAACTTAAGACTGAATATCTTTAGTTTTAAAGAGACAAAGACAGATGTTATGAAACAACCAGTGCTGTCACCAGTAATGATAAACGTCGTTTCTGTGATGGAATATTTTTATTGATATTTTTAAACACAGCATCATCAAACTAGGAAATATTATGCCTTATATCAGAAGTCAGAAAGAGCTTTATTGCCAAGTACGTTTGCACATACAAGAAATGTGTTTATATATATATATATATATATATATATATATGTCTGTATGTATGTATGTATGTATGTATGTATGTGACCCTGGACCACAAAACATAAGGGTCAAGTTTTTTTATTTATACATTTATACTGAATAAATAAGCTCTCCACTGACATATGGTTTGCTAGGATAGGACAATATCTGGCTGAGATACAACTATTTGAAAATCTGGAATCTGAGGGTGCAAAAAAATCTAAATATTGAGAAAATCGCCTTTAAAGTTGTCCAAATGAAGTTCTTAGCAATGCATATTACCAATCAAAAATTTAGTTTTGCTATATTTACAGTAGGAAATTTACTAAATATATTTATGGAACATGATCTTTACTTAATGTCCTAATGATTTTTGACCCATACAATGTATTTTTGGCTATTACTACAAATATACCCCAGCGACTTAAGACTGGTTTTGTGCTCCAGGGCCACACGCACACACACACACACACAAACACACACACACACACACATATATATATATATATATATATATATATATATATATATATATATACACACTGTATTTCTATGTCAAATAAATGCTTTTTACTATATGCTGTATACTAATTCTAGTTTGGAAGTAAACATTTCTAACTATTTGCACACTTTTATTTTATTTTTTTATTTGTAAGCCTAGCATGTTTAAAAGGCCAGTTTTATGGTTTTATATTTTTGTGAAAAAGCAATGACCGAAAGCTTATGGTCACAGAATGAATGTGTCCCTAAACACTCCTTAAAGAGTCAAAGACAGATGTTATGAAACAACCAGCGCTGTCGCCAGTAATAAGCAGGAACATCATCCCAGGCCTATGAATTCAAACAACAGCCCTAGAAACAACTGCATGTTTATTAAACAAAGCCTGCTTGCAGCATTAAAGTGCACTTTTGTTAAACAATGTAAAAAAAAAAAACACACAATAAAAGGATGATGCTAAATATGCAAGTACGAATACAAAGGGACAGTACAGATGGACTGATGTCATTGTCTGGTAAACAGTTTTGACTCTTCGATTTGTTTTTACCTTTAGTGCCTCCACACCAGCTTGGATGACGGGTGAGAAAACAGTCTCGCTCTCGTTGGTGTCAGCAAACATGTCAGGGATCTGCTCTAAAAGGCTGAAGAAAATAATACATAAAATCATATTAACAAGAATAGCCAATTTGGGTCTCAAAGTGAAGGCATACTTTAAGATAACGAACAGTGAAATATAGAAAAGTATAGAAAGTAACGCTTAGGAAGTAATTACTGTAATTCTAGTTTGGGCAGTTTACATCCTCTTAGAAATTATCCATCTCTCATATATTTTTATGGAAACTTTAGTGATGTATGCAAAATATTTGAATAATCCTTTTGATTCTTTTGCAATACATTATAACAAAATGACAAGAAAAAGTGTGTGTGTGTGTGTGAGTGAGAGAGTGAGAGACAGAGAGAGAGAGAGAGAGTGAGTGAGTGAGTGAGTGAGTGAGAGAGAGAGTGAGAGTGTGAGTGAGTGAGTGAGAGAGAGAGAGAGAGTGTGTGAGTGTGAGTGAGTGAGTGAGAGAGAGAGAGTGTGTGTGTGTGAGTGTGTGAGTGAGTGAGTGAGACAAAGAGAGTGAGAGAGTGAGTGAGCGAGAGAGCGAGTGTGTGAGTGTGTGTGTGTGAGTGAGTGAGTGAGTGAGTGAGTGAGTGTGAGAGAGAGTGTGAGTGAGTGAGAGAGAGAGAGAGAGAGAGAGAGAGAGAGAGAGAGAGAGAGAGAGAGAGAGTGTGTGTGTGAGTGAGTGAGTGAGAGAGTGAGTAGGTGAGTGAGTGAGAAAGAGAGAGAGAGTGTGAGTGAGTGTGTGTGTGTGTGTGTGTGTGCGAGTGTGTGTGCGCGTGTAAAAATGGTATAAAACGTGGGAGAAATCAGAGATTTCATAAGGTTCTGCATATATAAATTTTACATTTAGTCACTTAGCAGACGCTTTTATCCAAATAAGGACAATGGAAGCAATCAAAATCAACAAAAGAGCAAAGATACGCAAGTGCTATAACAAGTCCCAGTTAGCTTAACGCAGTACACGTAGCAAGGTTTTTTTTAGATGATATAATAAATAAAAAGAAAACAGATAGAATAGAAAAAGAATAGAGCAAGCTAGTGTTAGAGGTCTTTTTTTGCTTTTGTTAATTGTAAAATAAATAAAAAGAAAACAAATAGACAGAATACAAAAAGATTAGAGAAGCTAGTGTTAGTTTTTTTTTTAAAGCAGTTTGTAAATGAATAGTGCAGGTCTAAAAGGGGCAAGTTTTTTTAAGAATTAGAATAGAGTGTTCTATAGAGATGAACAGATTATGTAATTCCAATATCAATTACTTGCATACGTAAGCATATAAGATATATATATATAAAACACTGCAGTATTCCTTCTGATTTAATGGTGACTTTAATACTAATACAAAATGCTATATATGACTCAATGTAATAAGCCTAGAAGTTTCTTGTAAATTAAACTACTTACAAAAGAGTTTTGTTTATAACTAGAAATGAACCTACTTGTTGATGACAGCTCGGGACTCCTGGAAGTTGACGAGGAATCCGTCGAGAAGTGGTACAAACATCTCAGCCACATCAGAGACCACCATCATCTGCGGCTGGGCCAGAGCGCTCTTCACATTATAGAAGTGCAGGATCTTATTATAGGTGACAAAACCCACTTTGATAGCCGAAGTCTCGGTTCCCTCCTCTCTTCAAAAGACAAAGTACATAAGAAAACACCAAATCGGTAACACCAAAAAGGCTATATAAACGTGTCCCCAAAAATTATTATATGAATAAATATATAAATATATATTTGCAAATATACGATACTAGAACTTCTCAGAACTGCCTTCACTTTCCTGAAACATTTTTTGTCATTACTTTTAATCAAACAGTGGCAGTTCATTTCTGAAGCAAGTTCTCCTTTAGATTCACACGTGTTAATCAAGTCCAATTCATTTATATAGTGCCTTTCACAATGCACATGGTTTCAAAAGCAGCTTTACAGAAAATCATGATGTTAATATTTATAATATAGCAGTATCTTTGCTCTATAATATTCCTTAACATGCCAATTCAAACATGCTACATATCACTTTCCTTGTTTAGTTCATGTATATGGATAAAGTTGGACAAACTTGTAAATCAAACTTTATATACAGGCAATAATATAATTACATTTGATGACAAAATACATGAAATTTACTATAAAGTAAATATCGCTTTACATGAGAGTACTGTATGTGGTTCATCAAATTAACTACAGACATCTTTTTACAAACGTTTGATAACAAGAAAGTGTGCAAAATAGTATATTTTAACTTTCTTTTAAGCACTACATATATTCTATAACTACTTTAAACTAAAACGTAAAAAAAATGCATTAGCAAAAAATAGCAATGCATTAGAAAAAAAGCAATGAACTAAATGCATGAGAAAAAATAGCTTTAAAATAATGATTGAATAACTATGACAGTAACTATATTTTGAATGAGCTTTAATTCTTAAATTTTTTTATTTAAATATTTCTATAATTTTTAGCAATTTTGTCATTTTTATGAATTAGTTTTTTTGTATATATATACATTTTAAGTGTAGCTTAAAGGCTGTTAATGAATGATAGAATGATAAGTAAAGATATGATACAAGAATGATAACTATAATTATATTAGCATCCACACCAACAGACGATATAATGTTCTGTTTATAATCAGTGTTTGCTGCAGTTTTGTCGTTGGCCGTTTTAAATGCTCGGGCTCTTTAAAGCAGGATGGATTCTGATTGGCTGTCAATGTTTTTATCATTCATCAGATGGAATAAAAAATTGTTCAGAAGGTGATTCCAGCAATATCGATCCTTTGTGCCGTTATCGTTATAGCTTTGGTGGGGACTCTTTTTAAAACTGTAACTTTATTACAGTAATCATCGTTTTTTGGTGTGAACGGACATAAGTGTTTTTGATCTGCTTATATACTACCTTAGGAGGGAAACATTGACAACTCCTAGATTTTAAAATGACACAAATTCACGTGTTCAGTATTTCATCCATTTAAAGAAATATCTACATTTCACCATCTAACATTTACCAGAGCACTGTGTAGTAGCTGATAGCGGAGAGCTGCGTCGGCCAGTAAATACAAGCATTCCAGATTGACGTCTCTATCTGGGCTTTGTAGCTTTCTAAGCCTACATGGTGATGGTTTGAATCACTCACAGTCCATATATGCCAAGTCTCTCATTAAGCTAGAGACAAACTCTCCAATACAAATCCTATCAGGCACTAACAGACCCCATCGACTCAACGTGGTTTTCATTAACTCTGCGCAATCTAGCAAGCAAAGCCAGGAACAGAGGAGAGAAATCAGATATAACACCACAGGCTTATTTGGAGTGCACTACCGGACTACTTTCAGAGTGAGGTAAGATTCCAAACAAATAAGGACGTACCCTTAGGAACCAGCCGAGGAGAGGTAAGGAGTTTAGCAGGGTGATATACAGTACAGTATATAAGTTCCTCAGAGGTGTATCAAAAGCTCACCTCTCAGCTGGCCGTCACCCAAAGAAACGGTGTAATTGAAGCCATGTGTACCACCAAACATTTCAATACTTGGAACTGTTGCAGAACTAGAGCCGCTGAACCTCCTGACTTCCTTCAGGCAGACATTTTCAAATGATGAGATATTGGAATTGTTTCTTCCCCTATTTTTTTTTTCTTGCTTGTTCTCCCGTTACCATATTTGGCAGGGGATCGGGGCTCTTTTTCAGCTGGGTTCGTTCACATTCCAGGCTGATAGTAGCTGAGATGAACATGTGTTCAACCTGAGAGGTGCGGACAGAAAACAGAGGGGTGGCTTCTGCCCAAGGCTTCAACTTTACTCCACAGACCCTCCCAGCCAAACACCTGGAGCTGGGCGTCAGTGTGTGGGATGGGGGATGAAAGCAATCCTAAATATATCTGTAGTCCAACCCAGATCTTTACAGTCTTAGCTGTCCAAACATTAAAATACTAACAGAATGATCTATTCCCTCTGCTAAATTTCAGTCCAGCGGCCAGTACAGAGTAGACAGATGCACACGGGCTGCTGACAGGTCAGATGTTCACAATTTGCTGAAATATTTTAAAATGTATTTTTTTTATATATTTTTTCATATAATTTATTTATTAGGAATCATTTAAAATATAAATTAGATCCAAAATTATCATTAAAACTAATTATATAATATGTATACAAATAATTTGTAACAAAAAAATAAGTAAAAAGTGATTACAAATTGTGAACAGTGTTCTTTAGTATTTATTATTTATAATAATGTAATATTATAAATATATTAATTTATTATATTGAATATGTATCTTAATTTTATTAATATTTTGAATTAGTTTTTATTTTTATACTTCCATTTTTACTTTTATTTTTGTTTATGTACTTTTGTCATTTTTATTAGATTTAGTTTTTCAAGAAAATATTAAGTTAAACATTTAGGTTGAATTTATTTTATTTCAGTTTCAATTTTAGTTTTTATTTATTTCCAGTTTAATTTCATTTTTCCCATTATCATTTTCATTTGTTTTATTATCTAATATTTTAATTTAATATTATTTTAGTTTAATTTCAATGAACAACATTTTTTAATAGCGATAGTTTCAGTTTACAATAACCCTGGTGGTTAAAAAAACAAAATAAATAAAAACTTAACAATAACAGCAGATGATATCTACAATATACATTTTCCCTAAACACAGACTGACAAACCTGGAAACTTGATGTTGAATAGTATATAAAAAAAAAGTTATTATGAAGAACGATGGTGATTTATCATATTTCTCCCCCTCATTTTCTTTAAATATAGACAGCAAACATTATCTCTCAACTTACTTTGGAAGTCGGTCAAGCAGTGTCTTCAGTTCCTCGCATATTAGTTTGACAAGTCCACTTTTTATGTTGTTGTAGGAGACATCGATCATGAAGATGTAGGCAGGAGGATTAGGAGGCTTATTATTCTTAAAGACAAAAAAGAACATCACAGAATGAATTATGGTAGTTCACGAACTTCAAAGTGGGCTGTTTTTGCTTGTTCTTTACAGACTTCGTACACATATCTTGTGGCACAGAATACACAAAGTTTGCAATCATGTGAAAGCATATCATATGCATGAGAAAGCTTTTTTTATCTTTTTATATCTAGAAATGCCAAGATGAACATATTACAGTCTTTCAAAACACAACACTGTGGGCAGTAGGATCACGGTAAAGACTCCTTGGTTTGACTCCCAGAGAACAGTATGCAGTATGGATCAGCTGTGATGATTTGATTAAGCACTGCATGAGTTGATCCTCAAATATGAATAAACATCTGAGAGAAACGGGAGTCCAGATAGAAGATTATGGTGTCAGGCTGAGATGAGGAACCCAGGCACGGACTGGGGCCAAAAATGTGTCATAAATCTCTTTAGTCTGATAACTGAGCTGAAATTAAATTAATTTGAGAATACAGCCTTCTTTTCACCCTGATCTGTGCGATCACAATGCATCAAAAGTTTCTAAAGTATTCACCCTCTGGCTTTTAAAGGAATAGTTCACCCAAAAATCACCCTCAGGTCATCCAAGATGGAGATGAGTTTGTTTCTTCATCTGAACAGATTTGGAGAAATGTAGCATTGCATCACTTGCTCACCAGTGGATCCTCTGCAGTGAATGGGTGCCGTCAGAATGAGAGTCCAAACAGCTGATAAAAACACCACAATAATCCACACCAATCCAGTCCATCAATTAACATCTTGTGAAGTGGAACGCTGCATGTTTGTAAGAAGCAAATCCATCATTAAGACATTTTTAACTTCTGGCCAAAATATGAGTCCATATTCTATAATAATGCTTCCTTCCAGTGAAAAGGGTCTAGCCCTTGTTGTCAAAATCTACCCACATATTTGTTTAGAACTGTTTTGGACTGTTTTCAGTGTAAACAATCCTTGATCTGTGCATATTTCTCTGCTGATTCAAACGAGACAACTTTTTTTTTTTTTTTTTTTTAGAGAAAGCAATATTATGGGTAGAGGACTCATACTTTAGCCAGAACAACAGAGAGATCAACAACAACAGATTATGTTGCTTTTTTCTTTTTTCTTAAAACATGCAGCTTTTCACTTCACATGACATTAACTGATGGACTGGAGCGGTGTGGATTACTTGTGGATTATTGTGGTGTTTTTATCAGCTATTTGGACTCTCATTCTGACGGCACCCATTCACTGCAGAGCATCCATTGGTGAGCAAGTGATGCAATGCTACATTTCTCCAAATCTGTTCTGATGAAGAAACAAACTCTTCTAAATCTTCTAAAAATTTTCATTTTTGGGTGAACTATTCCATCAATATTACATTGCCTTCTTGAGCATCAGCAAAGGTGTGCAATTTTATTAGTAGGTAAATTACTCCCTCAACTGTCCACACTGTGAAAATACGGATCTCAAAATTACATATCCACTTATGGAAAGAGGTCAAATGATGAAAAAAAAAAAATGCTGGAAAACCAAAGATTGTGCATTACCTGGAGGACTTTTATAAAGAACAACTGGCAGTTTAACTATTCAGAACAAACGAGGGACTCATGAACAACTATCACAACACAAAGTTGTAGATCATCCAGGTTACGGCAAATTCATGTGTAAACTTTTGAAATGGGTCATTTTGGTAAATTTGTCATTATTTTGTTTTGTGAGATAGCTTTTTTCAGGGCAGTGTTAATGCAAAACAAAATGCCTTTTTATCATTTTGCACATTCTGTAAGGTATATGCAAACTTTTGACTTAATTACAAAAGTATTAGTATTAAGTATAAAATGTTTCATTAATAACGCAAAATATGCATTCTGTGCATTTTAGAAAAAAAAAATTGTATAAAAGTAAACGTTCAGCTGACCTGCTTGCAGAACAGCATAAAAATGGCACAAGTTAAATGTGCCTTCGTATAATCAAATAAAGAGTAATTTTTGCTGTACTCTGAGCATAAATTGTGTTCCTCATTTTAAACATATCATATGTTTATTATCAAGATTTAACTGTATATGCCTGAATAAAATATGCAATGTGACTGCCAAGAAAGAAACCTTTCTCAGCTGCTTCCTGGGGCAAGTTGACCCCGTTTGGACAAAACATACAGTCTCTTACCATTACATTTCTAGAGGGAAATTTTGTTAGTGAAGGACTTTATTCAGATAAATCAAATATAACCTATTAATAAACTTTACCAATGTAATCAAATCTTACTGTGACCATTGCACACTTACATAAAAAGTGTATATCCTTATTTTCATACAAGTTCTCTGTTACCTTGCAGTAATCCAGTGTGGCAATGAACTCATATGAGCCCAAAGACAGTTCTGGTCTCTCATACAGATCCATTCTTCTCCCCATATGGTCCAAATGCTGGAAATACTGCACTGGAACTGGAAAGGTAGTGAAAACCCATTTTTAGAAACACTTTTTTTTTTAGCTACGACTGCACAGACAAATAGTCCCTACCATATGTTGACAGGAAACACAGCGCAAGAATTGAGGTCTCAGCAGTCTCAATGGTACAGTACCAACCTTCATTAACGCAGCTGCAGAAGCCACACTGGTAGCGTCGTCCTCCATCGATAAACTGCATGTAAGGACACATGTAGGCCTTGCAGCGGTTGCAGCGGATTGGTCCAGTCTCACCGTGATTTACAATGTACAGAGGAGTCTATAGAGATCAGAGTGAGAAGGAAAAATAAGACTTATATACAGCCTTAACTTCTTTATTGTAACATATACCATGAGGTTTTATATAGTTGAACATACACTACCCTTCAAAAGTTTTTTTTGGGTTTAATTTATATTTTTATTCAGTAAGGATGCATTAAATTGATCAAAATCAATAGTACCGAATGTATTATTCTTTATCATAATATCAATTTAAAGATTTATATTTCAATTAAATGCCGTTTTGAACTTCTTATTCATCAAAGCATTCTGAAAACAAATGTATCATGGTTTCCACAAAAATATGAAGCAGCAAAACTGTTTTCAACTGATAATCTGACATTTTAAGTAGAAAATCAGCATATTAGAATGATTTCTGAAGGATCATGGAGTAATGACGCTGAAAATGTAGCTTTGCATCACAGGAATAAATAACATTTTAAATATATCAGAATAGAATACAGATATTTTAAATTGTAATAATATTTCACAATATTTTTTAATATTTTTACTGTATTTTTGATCAAATAAATGCAGCCTTGGTGTGCACAACAGACTTAAAAAAAGCATTTAATATTACAGACCCCACATTTAGTGTACACAACTGTAAATAAATAAAATCACATTCAACATTTCAGATGGAAAAAAGTTAATTGTTATCTCCATTAACTGAAGGCAAACAAATACATCATACTGATCTGTAGCTCTGTGGTTACTGTGCAGTTCAACTTGTTTACAAAGATACAATATAAAGTACATAAATATTAAAATGAAAAAAAGAAGGTTGACCTGAGATCATTAAGTATCAATTACATTAAAAGTTCTCAGTCAGCATATAAACTAAAGTCCAAAAAAGAGAAAAAGGAGGATTTTGCACTTGCTTCCATCCACATATAACACATATTTCGGCATGTAATCCTTTTTTTGGATACATAGCAAACCAATTTCAAGGACTTTTTGCTCTTTGGTGGAATTCATTTTAATAAGGTGCCACTGCAAAATCTGAGCTATCAGAGACGATGATCGGTAACACTTCAGATTAGGGAAAACACATTTATTATTAACTAAGAGTTTCCCTCAATAAAAGCCTAATTTTCTGCTTATTGATAGTAAGTAAGGTAGCTGTTCTAATAGGCATGTTTAGGTATGAGGCAGGCTTAAGGGATCTAGACTATGGTCATAATAAGGCATTAATATGTGCTTTATAAGTATTAATAAATACCCAATATGCTAGTAATATGCATGCTAATAAGCAACTAGTGAATAGTGTTCCCTAATCTAAAGTGTTACCCGATGAGCTTTTATTAAAGGAACACTCCACTATTTTTGAAAATAGGCTCATTTTCCAACTCCCCTAGAGTTAAACAGTTGAGTTTCACCATTTTAGAATCCATTCAGCCGATCTCCGGGTCTGGCGGTAGCACTTTTATCTGTAGCTTAGCATAGATCATTGAATCTGATTAGACCGTTAGCATCTTGCTCAAAAATGACCACAGAGTTTCGATATTGTTCCTATTTAAAACTTGATTCTTCTGTAGTTACATCGTGCACTAAGACCGACGGAAAATGAAAAGTTGCGATTTTCTCGGCCGATATGGCTAGGAACTATACTCTCATTCCAGCGTAATAATCAAGGAACTTTGCTGCCGTACCATGGGTGCAGCAGGCGCAATGATATTACCCTAGAAAGTCACAACTTTTCATTTTCCCTCGGTCTTAGTACACGATGTAACTACAGAAGTGTCAAGTTTTAAATCGGAAAAATATTTAAACTCTTTGGTTATTTTTGAGCGAGATGCTAACGGTCTAATCAGATTCAATGATCTATGCTAAGCTACAGCTAAAAGTGCTACCGCCAGACCCGGAGATCGGCTGAATGGATTCGCAAACAGTAAAACTCAACTGTTTAACTCTAGAGGAATTGGAAAATGAGCCTATTTTCAAAAATAGTGGAGTGTTCCTTTAATGTGAAATGAACTTATTAACTTTGGCTCATAGATGCTGCAATGTGGAGTCACATAGTTCAAAATCAAAACTGTTTGCAGTGTATTGTGCCTTAAAATGTGGATTAATTTCCTCCTTTATTTGAGAGCACAATAAACTATTCCTCTGACATGCTCCTTGGAGACTGAACCTAGACTAATTAGCCTCTCATGAGAATACTAACATTTCCTAAAAAGGCTCTGAAGCATAATGATGAAGGGTAAAGCAGTGAGAGACTCCAGAGTTAAACAAGTCTTGAACCACTATTAAACTACTGACACAATAAACTGAGGGGACACCCATGAATTAGAGTATGACCATATTCCAAAGGCAGTCATTTCCAAAGATAACACCATGGACAACAACAAACCTGTCTGATTTAATTTTTTCCGTGTGACACAAAAAGAGAAGTTTAGCAGAATACTCACGCTGCTCTTTTACGTATAATGACAAAAGCTGTCAAGCTCCAAAAAGAACAAAAAGCACATCTGCTACAGCTCTCAAATCTCATTAAATCTTGAACCTAGACTAATTAGCCTCTCATGAGAATACTGACATTAAGGTATGTGTATTAATGATGTGTATGTATATGTGAATATTCAAATTACACAAAAGAGATGAGTGTTTCGTCAGAAAAAAATTCATTATGGTATGACTTCAAAAGATTGGGAATACAGTACACAAGTCACATGGAAAAAATTTAATGGTACTTTTATTGTGTTTTTCCTGTTATTTTTTTGGAGATTGACAGCCCCTGGTCTTCATTCAATTTTTTATTTTTATTTTTTTGGTATGGAACAGAGTACCTAAAAAATAACTTTGGTTAGACTTTATTTTAAGGTGTCCTTGTTACAGTGTAACTATATATTTAAGTAATATTAATTAACTACTGTACATGTTACTTTATGGTTAGAGTTAGGATTAGGGTTTGGCTTGTGGTTACTTGCATGTAATTATGCATAATTTGTTATTATTATAATAATAAGTACATGTAACATGTGTAACAAGGACACAGGATTACTTTAAATAAAGTGTTATCACAGAAGGAAAATCATATGGTTAGAAGTGAATTTTGATTTCTATGCTGTTAATATCCCTTATGAAAAAGAAGCACACTTAATTGTATTGAATGTGCACATGTAGTGTACTTCAAATCTTAAAAGCATGTTTTTAACAACTTTACTTTTAGATAATGTAAGTACAATAAAATGAAAGGCCACTTAAGTGAACTTAAAGAGAGTACAAATTCATGACCGTGTATCTTAAAACACTTAATTACTTTTTTTAAAGTGAACTTTGTAATAACGCATGTTAAAATTTTACATTAAAGCACATGTAAGTACAATAAAATGAAAGGCCACTTAAGTGAACTTAAAGAGAGTACAAATTCATGACCTGTATCTTAAAACACTTAATTACTTTTTTTAAAGTGAACTTTGTAATAACGCATGTTAAAATTTTACATTAAAGCAGCACATTATAACATCATTAGGTTTTAATCATCTTTTGTCATGCTTTAAATAAGTACACTCATTTTGATGTGATGACTAACATACTAAAACATATGTAAAGTACTTGATTATAATTTTAACCATAGTATTTTATTTGAAATTACATTTCTTACATTACATACTTAAGTGGGTCACATTTTCATTTAATTGCCATTAATATGCAATTAAGTGTCTAAAAACATTACTTTCAGTTTGCACTTAAGTATATTATTTTAAAATATATGATTTTTTTGTAATAATTACTCTTTCTAAAAGCATGCTAAAGCGTACTTATTTGTAACAAGGGAACATATGTATAGTTTTACAGAGCTAAACATTATGTACCTCCCCAAGACATGGTTTTGTACATTTTAATCACATATAAAACATACTAAATATTCCTCAGAAAAAGAGTCACGTAGCATTCCTCGTTTGTAAATCATGTCTGCTGCATGAATAAATGTAAAAATAAATCTAGTATATAAACTCAAAACTGAAGAACTGCAAAAATCAGAGTGCTGAGAAATGCTGCATACCTCATTTTTGGGCACGGTGGCGAAGGGTTTGATGATGGCTGCCAGAGGCACTTTGCACTGCTTTGCAAGGTCAGCAGTGCTGGGGAAGGAATATGTTGTGCACCGCATGAACCTTGGGCTGGCATTCCCTTAAAATGGCAACAAAAAAAAAACGTTTACTATATTAAACAAAAGCACCTTTATGCTAATATTAGGCGAGAAGTGCAAAGACAGCTGCCATGCTCACCTTGATCCTGCACTGTGAAATCTGTGGTGACCAGTGGAGGCACCTGACCTCTGATGTTTGTGACATACACCTGGCCTCCTCTCTTAGCCTGGTCATCCTCAATCACTTGCGTCTGCAACAGACAAATCAGTGTACCTTGAAATGTGCACAAATTTAAATACTTTATAAAGTAGCATTTATTGCCTGTTATTACTGTGCTTGGAATGGAGTCCGGGTCCAGCTTCTTTTGAGGAGGGCCTGCCATTTGTGCTGGACCTCCAGGAAAGCCTCCTGGGAAAGCGCCTGATTGTGGCCCTGCCATTTGTGCACCATACGGGCCTGACATTGGGCTCCCTTCAGATCAGAAACAAAAAGAGTTATTTAAGCTAGTCAACATTTGCCTCTAAAAACAGCGAGTAGAGGTGAGGTGTGTCATTTCTGCACCACAAATGAAAAAATAAAGACAGATTCTGTTACCACAACTCACATTTAGTCAGATAGTCCCAAACCAAACTCACACAACTGGTTGAACTAATGTTGCTGCCAGACTCGTGCCGAGGCCTTTCTCATAAAACAGTGGCAACGCATTAAAGTCTGAACAAACTTTTTTTTAAGTCTCATGTAGGTGGATTGTTATTTTACAAGGATTTAGGATTAACATATACACTACCAGTCAAAATTTGGAATAATTAAGATTTTTCTATATTTTTGAAAGAAGCCTCTTATACTCACCAAGGCTGCATTTATTTGATTAAAAAAAACATTATTATGATATATTACAGTTTAAAATAACTATTTCCTATCTTAATACATTTTTAGATATTCAAATCAATGCTTCTTTTGAACTTTCTTTTTCATCAAAAAATCTTATAAATATATCTTTAAAAAATCTTTAAAAATATATGGCACATTTTCCATAAAAATATCACACAGCACAACTGTTTTCAACACTTATAATAAGAAATGTTTCTTGAGCAGCAAATCAGCATATTAGAATGATTTCTGAAGGATCATGTGACTCTGAAGACTGGAGTAATGATGCTGAAAATTCAGCTTTGCATCACGGGAATAAATTATAGTTTAAAATATATTCAAATAGAAAATAGTTCTTAAAAACTGTAATAATATTTCAAAATATTACTGTTTTTACTGTATTTTTGATTGAATAAATGCAGTCTTGGTGAGCATAAGAGACTCATTTGAAAAAAAAAATCTAAATCTTAAAGGGGTCATGAACTGAGAAACCTTGATCTTTTGACACATAAGAGGTCATTGCACTATAAAAACATATTGTACGTTTCAGAACCCAAAACTTTCTCGTTAGTCTAAAAATGGCTTATATTGAAGGCAGTCTGCCAAAACGACAGGTTGTGGAATGTTCTACTCCATGATGTTATAGTGTGGATAAGCACCGCCTCTGCAGATGTTCAACAACATCACTGCCTATTTAGCCCCGGCCACAGATTCACACATGTAGTGTTTAGGAGAGAGGCGGACGTGCAGGTCTACACAGAAACTAAACAATAAAGATGGCTCTGAAGACAACAGGATGCTGTGCAGTGCCAAGCTGTGGAAAAAATATTTGTATTTGCACTGCCTTCCTTCTGAACCCAACGTTAAGAAAGAATAGATTAACTTTATTTTAATGAAGATCCAGACCTCGTCAGTAAGAACTCAGTTCTTTGTTCACTTCATTTTACGATTCTTTTACAAACAAGGCACAGTGATTGGACAGTTCATGACCCCTTTAATTATTCCAAACTTTTGGAAGTGTAAAAGGTTGTCAAAAATGACACACATCACCTTTGTGACCCTGGAGCACAGAACCAGTCATAAGTAGCACGGGTATATTTGTAGCAATAGCCAACAATACATCGTATGGGTCAAAATTATCGATTACTCTTTTATGCCAAAAATCATTAGGATATTAAGTAAAGATCATGTTCCATGAAGATATTTTGTAAATTTCCTACCGTAAATATATCAAAACTTCTTGATTAGTAATATACATTGCTAAGAAATTCATTTGGACAAATTTAAATGCTATTTTCTCAATTAAAAAATAATAATAATTTGCACCCTCAGATTCCAGATTTTCAAAGAGTTGTATCTTAGCCAAATATTGCCCTATCCTAACAAACCATATATCAATAGAAAGCTTATTTAGTCATAAATCTAAAACAATTGACCCTTATGACTGGTTTTGTGGTCCAAGGTCACAAATATAAGCTCCGGAACTATTTCTTAATCACTGGTGCAAAATTTCCTAGTTTTTACCTGGTTGCTGTGGATAGCCTTGGGGTCCCAGTGGTGGTTGGTGGACACCTGGTCCAGGTGGGCCAGGCATTCCCATTGGCGGAGCTGTCACAGAACCTATCGTGGTCATTGGTGGAGGAGATCCAAGAGAGGGCAGCTGCTGTCCTGGTGGAGAAATGGGCGGATGTCCCATTGCTGCTGGTGGGGAAGTTTGAAACTGTTGTGGTGCTGCTAAGCTGGAAGGGGACTGTGGTACCTGCATGGGCCTTTGGCCTAAAGATAATGGTGCATGGGTATAAAATGGGCCCTCTAAAATTTAGTTCACTTCAATATAAAATGGCATCTAACTTACCATATCCTCCAATGTTCATGGCATTCATTTGATTGGTCAGCTGTTGAGTTGGAGGCAGGGCTTGTGCCATACTATGAAGAGCACTTTGAGGAGGCTGTCCATAAGCAGACATGGAATGAGCTGAAGCAACAGGAGCAGGGAAACTGATGGGAGCAAAAAAACACATTATAAAAAAAATTGCGATTTAAAAAATGTTTCATCACATTGAACCAGTATTCACCTGTGGGGATGGGCCCCATTTTGCTGAATGTTAGCACCATACTGGCTGGATACTGGTGGTGGAGGCATCCCAGAAAAAGAGGAGGCAGGAGGTTTGAGCACACCTGGAAAAACAGCATTCGTTTTTACATGTACATAAGCATGTGAGAAGATTGAACTGTGATAAAATGAATTTCAGCATTAAAAAACAGAGTATGCAGGGACAGCTGACACTATATTGAAAAGCAGTTCCCTATCTGTCGGTCACTACGAGTTATGTAGTGACGACATGGGGTGGGGGTTACTTGAGAGCCCCAATCCGCTCTGTTTTTAAGAGAAAACGCTAATGAATTTTGGCTAGTGGATTTTGCATACCTGAGTCACTCTCCGTGCATATGGGTATAAATAGGCGACAGGTACATCCACTCATCAGATTTTTGCTTCGGAGCCGAGTGGGTGAATGATTTCTTCTCCACAAAGCCTTTTTGTTCTGACTGGAAGAAAGAAGCTGTTCATGGTTGGCGTGACGGCACAAACAGCGGTGTCCCTGTTGATTCAGCGATTCCCCTGGATGCTACAACTAAAAGAGCAGTTTCTCATCACTGATGGTTTGCATCTTTTTAAAGATGCCGTTCCGTCCGTGTTCTCTTGGTTGCAGTCGTTACCTGTCCTCTGTCGACGGCCACGAGCGTTGCCTTCAGTGTCTGGGAATCCAACACGCTGAAGCTGCGTTCATGGATGACTCATGCATTTATTGCGAGCGTATGAGATGGCTTCGCTGCAATCTCGCCTCTCTCTTCTCACGTGGAATGGAGCGGCACCCTCTGTCTCTACCCATCCCGGTTTTCCTGTCACGAGCAGGGGACCGCTGGCTAGAGCTCTGGTAGATCTGAGGGTCACAGTGAGAGCTTCTCCGCCGGGCACATCCCCGCGGACCTCTCACTCCTCCCATAGCGAATGTCCCGTGTGGCTCCCGAGTGATTTCGCTGGCCCGGCTCGTGACGGTCCCAGCATTTAATTTGGTGCTTCGCCGGAGGATTGGATGTCGATCGCAGCATCGGGGGATGGGCAATCGTCCTCCGAGGATGAAGATTTGGCGGGGCTGTGCCCCTCGGGTGTTGTCGCTGCCGCCGAATCGGACCCAGAAGTCATGGACGTGCATTCCCGGGCAGACGCAAGTATCAGGCTTCTCGCGGCTGGATGATTTGTTTCTCGACGTGGGGCGCAGCTCACATCCGCACCGTGCGCCGGTGCCTTTTTTCCCAGAGGTGCATGAGGAGCTGACGAAGTCATGGACGGTCCCTTTTTCGGCCAGAAGCCGCTCGTCTCCCTCCTCTGTCCTCACTACCCTCGATGGCGGGGCAGCTAGAGGGTACGTAGACATTCCCCATAGGTGCCCATAAAATGCCGCCACTTGGAGGAATCGTCCACGTCTCCCGTACAAAGCCTGTAAGCTGACGGCCGCTCTCGTGGCCATATCTTACGGTGCTGCAGGCCAGGCTGCCTCTGCCCTGCATGCCATGGCTACCCTGCAGGTCCACCAAGCCAAGGCACTCAAACAAATGCACGAGGGTAGTTCTGACCTGGGGTTGATGCAGGAACTGCGCACTTCGTCCTCCGGGTGACGAAAGTCATGGCGCGGTCCCTTGGGAAGGCAATGTCCACGCTTGTGGCCCAAGAGCGCCATCTTTGGCTTAACCTCGCTGAGATGAGAGATGTCGACAAAGTGCGCTTTCTTGACGCTTCAATCCCGCAGGTTGGCCTATTCGGTGACACTGTCGAGGACTTTGCCCTGCAGGTTCTCGGCACTGCAGAGACAGACTGAGGCTATCCAGCCCATCTTGCCCCGGTGTGATCCTCCAGCTGCCACCGCTCCGCCGGGGGCCGCGTCTCAGCCTACCCGTCGCCGAGGGCCCCCCCCCTGCGTTCTCGAGAGCGCCTCTGCCCCGTGCTGAGACACCGTCGATGCGGCGCCCTCCATGTCCCATCCGCCCCCTAAGTCCTCTAAAAAGTTGACAAAGTGGCTCAGACATGGGCAACCCGGAGATGTGGGAAGTACCCACATTCTCGGAAAAAAGAGCAGTTTCCTTTTCCTCTGGGTTTTCAGGCACGTGGGCTGACATTGAGCGACGCACTGCCTCCTCATTCTCGCCCACGACGCCCCCTATCGACAGAGCCCAAGAGATTGCGGTTCGGGGACTTGTTGCCTCCCCACGCATCTCTGGCCAGTCCCTCCGGGGATACGGGGAGTCCTGCTGTGATGAGCCCGGATGCGATGCCTTCTGTGCCATCCAGCACGACTTCCCACCGCGGGTGCGTCGATTGTCCCTTTGGTGCCACTCGTATGGAGCTTGGAGACATTGCTTGCACTGTCCAACCCGTCCCGATGGCTCAATCGGACAGTTTGACTCGGTAACGCGATTCAGTTTGCCAGGCGACCTCCCAGGTTTAGCGGCATTCTCGAGACTTCGGTAGCAGCCCGAGATGCCCCTGTCCTGCACGACGAGATTGCTGTCCTTCTAGCGAAGGATGCAATCGAGCCTGTCCCTCCAGCCGAGATGAAGTCAGGGTTTTACAGCCCTTACTTCATCATGCCCATGAAAGGCGGTGGCCTTCGGCCAATCCTGGATTTGCAGGTCTTAAATCGGGCCCTTCACAAGCTTTCGTTCAAGATGTTGATGCAGAAGCACATCATCAGATGCATCCAGCCCCAGGATTGGTTTGCAGCGGTCGACCTGAAGGATACTTACTTTCATGTCTCGATTCTTCCTTGACACAGGCAGATAGGCAGATGGGCATGGCGTCGCGGTACACTCCATGTGACCATCACGCCGACGTCTTGCCGCTCATTCAGCTCCTTTACAGACCTTTCCTTTCTACGAGCCGGAGTGCCCTTAGAACAAGTGTCCCGGCATGTCGTTGTCACGACAGATGCCTCCAGTATGGGTTGGGGCGCTACATGCAATGGGCAGGCAGCCTCGGTGCTCTGGACGGGACCTCGACTGCTTTGGCACATCAACTGCCTAGAGCTGTTGGCAGTGCATCTTGCCTTACGGCAGTTCCGTCACTGCTACAGGACAAGCACGTGTTGGTCTGCACAGACAACACTGCAGCCGTGTCGTACATCAACCAGCAGGGAGGTCTACGTTCACGTCGCATGTCACAGCTCGCCTGTCATCTCCTCCTCTGGAGTCAGATGCGGCTCAAGTTGCTGCGTGCCGTCCACATTTTGGGGGAGCTCAATCGTGCAGCCGACGTGCTCTCACGACAGCTCATGTTCCCCAGGGAATTGTGACTCAATCCCGAGACAGTTCGGCTGATCTGGAGTCGATTCGGGGAAGCCCAGGTAGACCTGTTTGCTTCCCGCAAGTCCTCCCACTGCCATCTGTATTACTCCCTGACCGAGGCCCCCCTCGGCACGGACGCGCTGGCACACAGCTGGCCTCGAGCTCTACACGTTCACTCAGGCTAGAGCTTCCTCGACAAGGCAAGCCTATGCTCTGAAGTGGAGTCTGTTCGTGAACTGGTGTTCTTCTCGCCGAGAAGACCCCCGAAGATCCACGATTGGAGTAGTGCTTTCTTTCTTGCAGGAAAGCACGATCTCATCGTCAAGTTCCTGAGGAGTGCCAGAAGGTTAAATCCTCCTAGGTCACCCCTGGTGCCCCCATGGGATCTCTCTACTGTCCTGGCTGGCCGTCAGAGGGATCCCTTTGAGCCGCTGGACTCAGTTGAGCTAAAGTTCCTGTCTGCTAACAGTTGCCACAGCCATATCACCCTGCAACCCAAGACTGGTTGCCCACTGAAGCTAAGCAGGGTTGAGCCTGGTCAGTACCTGGATAGGAGACTTGGAAGGTTGCTGTTGGAAGAGGTGTTAGTAAGGCCAGCAGGGGGTGTTCACCCTGTGGTATGTGTGGGTCCTAACGCCCCAGTATAGTGATGGGGACACTATACTGTCAAAAAGCACCGTCCTTCGGATGAGACGCTAAACCGAGGTCCTGATTCTCTGTAGTTAATTTAAAAAAGAATCCCATGGCACTTCTCGTAAAGAGTAGGGGTGTAACCACGGTGTCCTGGCCAAATTGCCGCCACTGGCCCTTGTCAATCTTGGCCTCGTTGCCCACTGAAGCTAAGCAGGGTTTAGCCTGGTCAGTACCTGGAGACCTCCTGGGAAAACTAGGTTGCTGTTGGAAGAGGTGTTAGTAAGGCCAGCAGGGGGTGTTCACCCTGTGGTATGTGTGGGTCCTAACGCCCCAGTATAGTGATGGGGACACTATACTGTCAAAAAGCACCGTCCTTCGGATGAGACGCTAAACCGAGGTCCTGATTCTCTGTAGTTAATTTAAAAAAGAATCCCATGGCACTTCTCGTAAAGAGTAGGGGTGTAACCACGGTGTCCTGGCCAAATTGCCGCCACTGGCCCTTGTCAATCTTGGCCTCCTAATAATCCCTAACCACTTGACTGGCTCTATGACTCTATGGCTCTATGAGCACACTGGCGCCATTGTACTGTGGCTGCCGTCGCATCATCCAGGTGGATGCTGCACACTGGGGGTGGTTGAGGAGAGACCCCCCCACATGATTGTAAAGTGCTTTGGATGTACAGCAATACACAATAATGCGCTATATAAATGCATCATTCATTCATTCATGCTAAGACAGCACTCCTGACCATGCTCACTTCCATCAAGAGGGTCGGGGACTTCCAAGCATTTTCGGTGAGCGCAGAGTGCCTTGTGTTCGGGCCGGCCTGCTCTCACGTTTCACTCACAAGGTCAGCGAATTTGTGCTGGGGCATTGGGAAGGTTACGACCTTTGCGTAGCATTTGTCTGACACGCAGCTGCTTGTCAACATTTGCAGCATTACAGGGTTGTGACAGGGTTCAGGTTGTGGTGCTTTCCATGGACCACCTATGTCGTGACCGACAGATAGGGAATGTCTCGGTTACGTATGTAACCCTCATTCCCTGATGGAGGGAATGGAGATATTATGTCCCCTTGCCACAACCTTGAACCATCACTGGTTGCCAGGGACACGTTCTCGGCTCCTCAGCGTAAAACCTGATGAGTGGATGCACCTGTCGCCTATTTATATGTGCATGCACGGGGAGTGGCTCAGGTATGCAAAATCCACTAGCCAAAATTCATTAGTCAGAGCAGATTGGTGCTGAGACTCCTATATCATAGGGACAAGATGAAACTTGCCAGTTTTAGAACAGAACTCAACAAAAGAAGATTTACTTTACCTGTCGGAGGGGCAGAGTAGCCCTGTGGCGGAGATCCATACATGCCATAATGCGACTGAGGTGGGGGGTTCCCAAAACCTGCAGAGTATCCCACCATTCCAGCCTGGGCCTGGGAGTATGGAGGGGTGGCAACATAACCTTGCTGACTCATCCTACTGTTATACCTCTTTCATTCCAGTCTGAGACAAAAAAAAGGTGACCTGGAATAGAAGAAAGGGGGTGAATTAGAACTACTTTATATGTGCAATTTGACGTTTCCATCAAAATTAATTTGTTTTGCGGGTTTAAAACAGAAATACACATGAACTTTTAATTTTGAAGTCATAAAACTTCTAATCTATCTGTTGCATTCGGCCCATTACTAACCATTGTGTAAAAAGAAGTACACTTTAGCATACTTTGAAAAAGAGTACTAAATTGTGGAAAGAATATACCTAAGTGCTAACTGAACGTAACGTTTTCGGGCACATAATTGCATGTTAATTGCAATTAAATGAAAATGAATTAAGATTTAAATTTATATTAAATGCAATTAGATGAACTTTAAAGTGGACTTGATCTTTCTATGTAAATTCACAATTACTTCTATTGTCTTTGAAATATGTTGTTGTTGTTTTTGGTGAAGTACTGCTGAATTTATTAACAAGCATTTATGTAAACTAAAATATACTTTAATGTCATTTCTATAGAAACTTCTATGCCATGTGTTTAAATATATACTTGTAACACCAACTTTGTAATTACAATTTAAGTTGTAATTTAGTATATTTAGTATTTAGTACACATCAAAATAGGTGTTACTTTTCTAAGCATGACAAAAGATTATTAAAACATAATGATTTTACATTTTAATTACAAAGTGCACTTTTTAAAAAGTTGTAGAGTGAATGAACCCCAGAAGCAGTTTGTTGTAAAATTATGAGATAATGAAATGTTTTCTACAGTTTAGACTTTACCTGATATGATTACCTCAACCCTAAGCACGTGTGATCAGGAACTTTGTCACTAGACTGAGATAAGAGGAGTTTATGATAACACAATCGGCCAAGAATACATACCGGTACATGCAAAATGTGAATATAATGGTTTGACTATTGTATTCAGACTTTAAATTAATTAATTTTATAACTTCACCATAAATAATAAGGTTATGGCAATGCACAGAAATGGACATCTTTTTGGCATCTGTTTAATTTAAAGTTCCTTACTGTATATGTCTTTACATTATGTAATGTTTATTTACCAACCGATTTGAGCTATTAAACTCTGTAAAATGTACTGCTATTAATATTCCCACTACAAATGTCAGATGATGATTTAAAGTTATGCCCTAAAACAACAAAACAGTGTCATAAATATATAAAATGAAATCATTAGGCCTACATAAAATGCAACATAAAACACTCCACTGTACATAACTGATAACAAAAACAAGAATGATGATCATGCAGGGAATTTCCCATAAACTAAACAGTGATTCATTGATTATTACGTTTTGAATATGGATATTTTTCTTACAAAAATGCATCGATTCGCTACAGAAGGCCTTCGTTCACCCCCTGGAGCCGTGTGAGACACTTTTTTTATGGATGGGCGCTTTTTATTTAACTTGTTTTGGACTGAAGCATGCAACACCCGCTGAGTGCCATGAAACAGCTTGAAAGATCAAAGACAATTTTTAATATAACTCCGACTGGATTCGTCTGAAAGAAGAAAGTCATATACACCTAGGATGACTTGAGAGTAAGTAATTTATGGGCTAATAGTGTATGACCAAAAATTGATATCACGGTATTTTCCAAAATTATACCGGTTTCACGGTACATGACGGTATTTTATTTTTTTTTTTAAACCCATATTTTCTACTGATTGAGAGAGGAAATACTGCAGTATATTGACTTAGAATGCCCTGTTTTACTGTCTTGTTGAGTGAATATTGTCAAAAAATACCACACTAAATAGTGACTAAACACGACCTCTTTTAATGTCAACCAGGAGTCACTCTCATTTATAATCGCGGCATCGTCTGATAAAATCAACATGCATCTACACTAAAGAGCGGTTATGCGGTTGTTTTGGCTATATTACTTTTTTGTCTCATGCAGCGCACTGCCTGCGTCTGAGTAACAAATTTTAAAAAACAACAACAAAGAAGTGCATGTGATATTAACAGACGAACTACGCTCCTATTTATAATTCAAAACAATCAGTAAGCGACAGGTGCTAGGAAATGCTGTTTTGTACTCATTTATTGACGAGTCGGCTGTGGTGCGGCTAACTGAATGCCCTGCTTCTCTGCCACTCACTGCCATAGTTGCCAAGTCCGTGTATTATACGCGATTATGGGCTTCTTTTTTTGTAAAATTGAGTGAAAAAAATCCCAGGTCACGGGTTGCGGTTTTTTGGGCTTATTTATAAAAATATGGTTGCTTGTTAGGGAAATCCGACAAGCAACTTCCGTTTCTTTATTTATGTTCGCCGTATTCTGCAATGCATTGAATGACACTCTGTCTGCTCGCCGTTAATAGCCAACCAGTGCAATAATATAAATAATGCAGCGTAATTTGTCAAATGTTCCGCCCCCTCCTCCCCCTTCATTGGAGAAAATCCCGTTCAAAAAGAAGGCACGTACCGTGACGCTGTAATCCAAGCGATGACAGAAGTAGACGTAGAGGAGTAGGATGACGGATGACTTTCTTTTAGCCTATTTTTTTATTTGTACAATGTTTTTGTAATGTATTAATTATCACGGGCTGTAATAAAAAACAAGTAGTCCTATACTAAAGGCTGATTTATACTTCTGCGTCAGACCTACGCCGTAGGCTATGCGTCAGTTTTCATTTATGCACGTGCCGTGACGCTGTAATCCAAGCGATGACAGAAGTAGACGTAGAGGAGTAGGATGACGGATGACTTTCTTTTAGCCTATTTTTTTATTTGTACAATGTTTTTGTAATGTATTAATTATCACGGGCTGTAATAAAAAACAAGTAGTCCTATACTAAAGGCTGATTTATACTTCTGCGTCAGACCTACGCCGTAGGCTATGCGTCAGTTTTCATTTATACTTCTGCGTTGGTGTCCGCGTCAACGTGCAGTACACATGCAAACCGCTAGTCTACAGTGTCCACGGGCATGTTGCTGGTGTAACCCGCAGTACCACGACAAAAGCCGAAGAAGAAGCAGCTCGTCGGAGAAGCATTATAGCAGTGACGGCGGCAACGTTGTTTAAGCGACATACACACCGGTATTGCGGTATTTTAAAAATTAATATCATAACAAAAATAAACACCGGTATTCGGTATGAACCGGTATACCGCCCTGGGGCTAATTTTCATTTATGGGTGAACTAACCCTTTAATTATAGGCCTAAAGTATGCCTAGTTTCGATAAACTTCTTATACAAATAAACTAACTATCCCTACTGCATGTTTTCACACAGCACAGCTTGAAAACAACTCAAAGCAAAAAAATACAAAGCAATGTCCTCCGGTTTATTAAATACAAATCCTCTAAATTGGACACCGGGCTGCTCTTTCTCTAAAATGATTGGCCTGTCTGAGACATAATGTCTCTGCAAGAGGCCTTTAGACATTGTCAGGGTAAGATCATATTTAATCAGTTAACACACACGATATTCAGAGCAGAGATGCTATGCGTAAATGTACAGTATCAGTCGCCACTGCCCTGAACTGCCACGTCAAAGACCGTTATGACAGACCTGCATGTTTCACTTTACTGAATAAAGTCCATAGTGCTAGACTTCAGCACATGTAATGGACAGGATCGATGTGCTGATAATAATGCGCGTGGACTAGCTGTCAGTGATACAAAGTTACGAAATATTTTCTGCTGGAGACGGAAACTGGCATACTGTACAAACTTACAAAAAAATGTATATACAGTAACGTTATATGAATAACGATGCTTAGAGACTACGGTCAAAATAAGGTTGTCTTTCAAAAACCATCTTTAGTTTGTTAGTTTACTAGTACATAACAACAGAATAGAGACTCACCTGAAGGAGAATGATGAGCTGCGTCCTTTCCTCTGCTGATGTTGAATCGCGTGCCGAGAGTGCCACGTCCAACTCCAATACAGCGCCGGTGTCACGGAGCGTCACGGAGCAGCCGCCTCTGCGCATGCGCATGCGCATGCCGATGTGAAGGAGACAGATGTGCGTAGCCTGCAAACTCCATTCTGGGCTGGCCTTCACAGAGCAGCAGCACATAGCTCCTTCTGATCTGTGGGTGCTTCTTGAATAGCAAATGCATGCAAATTAACAAAACGTGATAATATTATTCAAGATTGCTCATCATGTGCATATTCTCTGTTCTTTGGTCTTGTGCACAATGTATTGCATGTGACAGCATCCGAGTCACGATGGGAAAACATTAGGCTAAGTTACAGTTATAACACTTTGTATTTTGTGAGGGACATTGCAAAGTCCTTTAGAGTACTTTTTTGCCCGACTTAAGTACATCTTGTTTCACAATTACTTCTGTTTGAAATGATTGTTAACTTGTACTGCTGAATGTATTGAGTGGTAAACTAAAATATACTTTAATATCATTTCTATTGAAACATGTATGTCATGTATTTAAAAATATTTGTAATGAGGGAGTTGCGATTTAGCACTTTTTAATTTATGTGTAATTAAAATTATAATCAGGCACTTTACATGTGCTTTAGTATGCATAGCAACACATTAATTAATGTGTATTTGTTTAAAGCGTGACAAATGATTATTAAAACAATGAGTTTAAGTGTAATTTATGCACATTTTATTTAAAAATTACTCTAAAGTAATACACATAAGTGAACTTTTATTTCCTTGTTATATTATTTGCAAGTACATAAGATAGTTTTATACACTCTAAAAAATGCTGGGTTAAATACAACCCAGTGCTGGGTAAAATAGGGACAAACCCAGCAATTGGGCTGTTTTGATCCAGCGGTTTGATTAAATGTTTAACCCAACCTTCTGGGTAGTAACCCAACCGCTGGATCAAAACAACCCAATTGCTGGGTTTGTCTCTATTTTACCCAGCACTGGGTTGTATTTAACCCAGCATTTTTTAGAGTGTACGTTTAAGATTTGAAATGCACTACAAGTGCACATTAAATAGGCCTACAATTTAGCACACTTATTATTTACAAGGATATATTGTATTATAAGATATGGAAGATGCAAAGTATGTAACTCTTTTGGCTTCATGGTGCCTTGAATCGACATTTTCTGAAGTGCTTCTAAAGCAGTACTCTTTCTCTGTTGGTCTTTGATTCTGACTCGTCTTCAGTCGCTTTAGTCCAGCTTGATCTGTCAAGTTTATTATACTGCAGTATAATAAGTAGGCTATATTAGTGCAGATCTTTATTACCTCTTAGATATATGAACAGTGGCGTTAGGCATGTTAAATATTCTGGCCTTGCCCCTCTGATTGATTTAATCTGATTTTGCTAATGAACATCTTGCTTAACAGTGACACTCCTTTGGCTCTAGTTCTGTGAGACTTCAATAGCTGACTTCACTAAAAGTGTAGTGGGATATGCTGTCCATAGTCACAATGGAAACA